CATCTGTAAAATAGATACAGACTACTCTAGTAGGTTTGCTTCGAGGTTAACTGGTTCTGTGGTACTAGCAATGCATCTGGTACAATATATTCCAAGATAACCTAAGCTGTTCTGAATAAATAAATTCGTAATGAGCTAGCTGGCTTAAGCAGTTAGATGTTGTAATAACGTTAGGTTGGATCTGTATGAGTTAATGAACAGAGTATTTAAATAGGTAACTCACAGGTAGGTTACAGATATGGCAGCATAGTGTAGAACCAATTAAGTAACCTAATGCCTGTACAGCAGACTACTTAAAATAGACAATGACTAAAGTTGTATGTGTGGCTTGTTGTACACTCTTCATGTAATTACAAACAGTAGGGATTATCCATGTATAATCCTGTATGCAAATACTAATAAAATCTCATCGGCAATGTAAGCTGTCTTAAACATAAAAAAAAAAAAAAAAAAATAATAGAGAAAATTTAGTATTTGATTATTTCTTAATTTCATAAATAGTTTTAATTTTTTTGTATAAAATATACTTTGTAGTAGCTTTAGAAAGAGCTTTGTGTATTTTGTTTTATAATAAATTAAGTTGGTTTTATAAAGTAATATTAGTTAATTAGGCTTGAAGTTGTTGTAAGCTATAAGAGGTTTGGCTTATATATTTTTTGAGTTACTCTTTGTTATATTTTTTCTATTGATAGTATTTTCTAGATTTGGAGTTTGAGAAATTTGAAATATAAGTTCTAATATTATAGGTTAATAGTCAGATTCTAGTTAAGGTTCTAATATAATATCTGTATAATCAAGTAGTATTGCACTAATATTAGTTCAGATATGATCAATTCTGATAAAAAGGTATATTTAGATTCTTTAGAGAAGAATAAACAAAAAATATCTTTGAATTATTGGCTTATTAAGAATTTAATAAATTGTGATTCTGAAATAGAAGATTTTTTTGAAAGGAGTCTATCTTGTTAAAGATTTAGAATGCTATTAAAATTACCTATTATAATAATTTTATATATTGTATTTAAAATAGTTTAATTATTTTCTCTTGAATATCTTTTCAGGATTGTTTTTTTTTTGCAGTTAGGAAATAAATCTATAGAAAGTGAATTAGATTATTTTTGAAGTTTAAATCAACTCTAATAATATGACTATTTAAGTTATATGATCAAGTAATATATTTGAATATAGAATAATATATAAAAATTTCTACTCCTACTTGACAAGAGTTGGTATAAAAACTCTAAAAACTAGTATAAGTTAGTATTTCTTTATTAAAAAATCTATATTTTTTTACTAACAGATATGTTTCTGATACCAAAGATGAGATATTTGTTTTGATTAATAAGATCTAGTAATAATAGTTGTTTTGAGAGTAAAAAAAGACTATTAATATTAATTGAAGCAATATTAATATTTAAAGAGATATTTTTAATAGTATTAGTAGAAATTAGTATAGATATAGAAGTATATAGTATTTTTATTTGCAAAATTAAATAAGTATTATATAATATTTTTTTTTTTTTTTTTTTTACTTTATACAAATACTATCAGCTAAACTTTATTAATTTCATAAATTCTAAAAATGATATATATTGTGAGAGTATAACTAGCCACATATACAATTTTAGGTTGTCTATTTTAAGTAGTTCATCTGAAGGTTCTACACTAGCTACTATATCTAAAATCTCTTAGAAGATTACCTATTTAAACTCTCAGACTCTATCTTACTTACTGCAAATATTACTCTTTATAGTTAATCATAACTCTGTGCTATTTTACTTTGAGAGGTATTCAAGCTGATATTAGTCACAAACTTTATTGTTATGAGTCTAGATCTTACTCAGATAAGTTCTACTTCAATATTCTCTAATAGATAGGTATTATGATATCTAACTATATTACACTATATTCTAATTTAGTTTGCATATACTCTTATTCAATGTTTATACAAACTCAGTTTTAGCTATAGCTCTCTACTAGTTTAGACTTCTGTGTTCTTCTGAATATTTTATAAGGTAGATCCTTTTTATTTAGTTAGCTGCCAAGCCAAGTTGGTGTTGCTACTAAATGCAAAATACCAGATTATATTATATCGCAAACTTACTCGCATCTATTCAATCTGCATCTTCATACTCTGAAATTTTTGTCAGATCAAGTATTAATTGGTATGACTATTAAAATCTGTACTACTTCATCTAATTTGAGATTTTTACTATACAGATCCTCTGCTCATAGATCCTATTTTAATTTATTTGTATAATGCAACTTCAACATTCTGTCACACTTCTAATATCTGAACAATATTGGTGCAATATGATTTATAGAGTTATAACCCCAGAAATGAACAGAGTTTACTATAAGTTGAATACAAATGTTTAGGTAATTATTCAATTCTGTTAACAGTAGGATTTGAATTCTAGATCTCTTGTATAGCAGTCTGACAACCTATCTACTACACTAGATTACTAGATCTAGTATTATATAATATTAAAATTTATGAATTTGAATAGAATAGGCCCTTTTAAAAGCTTTTTCAAAATGAATTTGCTAGTAGATTTGAATAGATATGAATTTTGTATTGTAATATGCATATACTAACTTGAAAGTAAAATAAAAAATATATTTTGTGATAGAATAAATTTAGAAGCTCTTATAATATATATTTTATTTTACTTCCAAGTTAGTATATATATATAGGTTAAATGATATATTATAATACAAATTCATATCTACAAATCTATTAGTAAATTCACATTTGAAAAGGCTTCAAAGTGAATTTACTAGTAGATTTGTAAGTACAAATTTTGTATTATAATATATTATACTAATCTATGCATATGCACTAATTTAGAAGTAAAATAAAATATATATTATATAATAAAATAAATTTATTCTATCATATAATATATATTTTATTTTACTTCCAAGTTAGTGCATGTGTATAGATTGATATAATACATTATAATACAAAATTCACACCTACAAATCTATTAGTAAATTCATTTTGAAAAGGCCTAATATTTAAATAAGTGCTATAGAGTGAAAACCTGAAAAAGAATCTTTAAATTTATCACTGTAATGAACTTAGTCTTATATTATATATTATGATAAGTTCACTACAGTAATAAAATTAAAGATTCTTTTCTAGGCTTTTACTCTACAGTACTCAAATATAAATATAAAAACTAAATTCTCTTTATACTCACAGACTAAAAGACTAAATACACAGATTATTTAGGTAATTCTTAAATGAGTATAATCTCTACTGCTACTTACTTTTTACTATATCAACATATCAATTTCTTTAATAGCTGGCATCCCTGCAATATAATATTCAAGTTTATTAAGGTCTTCATTGATTTCATTAAAGTCTGTATCTAGTATAGATCATACAGAAGTCATAGTATTACTAGAAAATATTCTTACTAAAATATTGTTAAAGAATAGCAAATATTCCATTTTTAAGAGATGACGTATTCTAACAAAAAAAAAATTATTATATATTAGTAAAAAAAAAAAAAAAAATTACAAAGCTTTTGTTTTATCAATTTCATAATTAGGAAATTCTTTTTTTATATAATAATGGAACTTCCTTTATAGATCTAATACAGTATATAGTATCACAGTTGGAATAATATTGTATTAATTTTTCTCTAGTCTTTTTAGTAGCTGAGATGAATGAATCTAATAATGAATTACAGTTAGATTTCTCTATAATTATACCTTAGGAATATAAAAAACTATAATTATATAAAGGTGTAACTATTATAAAGGTAATTTCTATATAGTCACAATATTATTAAAAATATAAAAAAATAAGAAACTATGACTATATAAAAATTTTATATAATAAAAAATACTAATATAAAATAAATTCTATTTAAAATTCAAAATCACAATACAAATGCTTCAATCTGCAATTTGACTAATTCAAATTGATCTGATAATTTATTAAATACAGATATTCTTATCTATTAATTTTAAGCAGATAGATTCATGATATATTTTACATAGTCAATACCTTATAACGAACCTTTTTATAACTTTGAATATAGTAAACCTTAAATTTTAAAAATTTACTAGAAAAACAATGGTGTTTTGTAGGTTGAAGTTTTAATTATTAGGCCTTATATTTTAGAAATAAATTTAAAATTTTTTAAATTTTATAGATCATTAAATTAATTTGTTTTCTTCTACTGTAGTTTTACAATTTTTATTGTTATGAATTACATGTAATTAGTTTTATTAATATATTTGTATATTTTTTATTACTATATCACTATATCTTTATTTAATTTTAAACTACTATATGATTTTTTATTTTATTAAAAATCTGTTTCTATATTTTAAACTAAGATTTAAGTACAGTATCTAGATATTGAAACTAATTTAGACTCTTTTTCCAAATACTAAACCTAAATCAGGATCAATTAAACTAGGAACTGAATTGAATTTGAACTAATTCCAAATTTATTCAATTAGAATTATAACTGAATTCATAAAAGAGAATCTAAATTTAATCTGAATAGACCTGAAAAAAATAAGATCGAAGCTTTAGTTGTATGAAATGCCTAGATTCAAATCAGGATCCAAAGTTGCTAACAAAGATTTTTGCTAACAAAATCTATTTTTAAGAGATACTTTAATAATTTTCTGTATAAGCCTACCTTACATATGTGTTCTTATACCAAATCTCTACTTAAATCACTATTAGCAATTAGATAATTTTGAACAAGTTTTGAACAAGTTTTGGACAGTTTTGAATGATTTTTAATATGGCTAAAATCTGTTTAAAACTATCAAAATTGTTAAAATCTGTTCAAAAGCTATTTTTATAAGTTAACTTAAATAAATTATATAAAAAAGTTAATTAAAAAGCGAGTATTTTGGTAGTTTTTTTTCTACAAGATAAACAGTTTACAAAAGTTATAAAAGATAAATATCATCCTTTTCAACAATCTAAACCTTACATTATACTTTCTGAATCTGTAGTTAAAAAAATGTGTAGTCATATTAGTAACAAACAAAAAAAAGAAATATATGAATTTACTAAAAAAAATTTATCCTATAAATACTATGAGATAGCAAATAAATTTATGAAACATTATTTGAATCTGAAGATTGATCACTTAACTATTTCAAAAATATTAAAAAAGGCTGATGAGTATAATCAAATTCAGGATGATGATATGTAATCTGAAAAAATTTTTCACTATTACTCTGTGAAGTACTCTATGTTAGAACTTACTATGAATATGTAGGTAGAATAGGTTCTAACTGAAGGAATAATAATATTAGACTCATTAGTAAAAGAGAAAGCCCACTAATTTGCAAAATCATTTGATATACCTAAAGGGTTACTTATATTTTTAAATGAATAGATTACTAGATTTAAGAAACATAATAGATTAAGAAGAATTACTATGCATAGTGAAGTAGCAAATACGCCTTTAGAAAATTTACTTGCAGAACAGATCAAATTGCAAGAACTTTTTTCTATTATAACCTAAAGAATATCTACAATGCTGATTAAACTGGTCTATTCTACTGATTGCTTCCTAATCAAACTCTTGCTAAAAAACTAATAGCTGAAAAAAAAAGATTAGAATAAGAATAAAAATATAAAATTAAAAAAAATAAAATAAAAATAAATAAATAAATACTATACAGTAAAATTAAAATAAAGTAAAAAAAAAAGGTTAAAAATAAAATAAAACATATAAAAAATAAAGCAGTTACTGTAATTAAACAATTGGAATCCTTGTTAACAAAATGATCCTTCATAACTATGTAAATTATAGTCAAAAGGTCATTTTGTTAGCAAAGATTTCAATAATTTATTTTTTTTTTATTTTTTATTTTTTAGGAAAAAGTAAGAGTAACTATGCTACTTTGCTCAAATTCAACTGGTTTGCATAAGCTCTGCTCACTGATTATTGGCAAATCCAAAAAGCCACAATCTTTTAATAGGATAAATATATCACAATTACTTATGATATATCAAAACAATAAAAAAACATAGATAAAAAGTGATATTTAAAAAAAATAGTTGCATTATATCGATGATAGTTTTCATATTCAAAGTAGGCAAGTTTTGCTTCTCATCGATAATGTGGCTTCCCATATGACCTCAAGAACAAATAATATAAGCGAAGTCCAAGATAATAATGAAGATAAACTATTATCTAAAAATGATCCTAATAACAAAATTGAAGAACTTAGGAAGAGTCATAAAAAAGGTCATAAAGAAGGCCACAAGAAAGGCTACAAGGAAGGCTATATGGAAGGCTATAAGAAAGGTCATAAGAAAGGTTATAAGAAAGGCTATGAGAAAGACTACAGAGAAGGCTACAAGGAGGATCCTAGAGAATACTTAATCGAGATCAATTAGAACGAACTTAAAATAATTCTTACCTTACAAATACTACTGTCTATTTTCTTCTGCTAAATATTACTACTCATATTCAACTCATAAATGCCAGCATTATTTATAGCTTCAAATTAAAATATAAAAAGCTGTATTGTCATTATATACTTACACAATTCGAGAAAAATAAGGATCAAACATAAGAATTTTTTTAAAATTTATATATGAGCAGTTAAAATATAAAAACCAAGGAATTTAAATTTGTAAAAAAAAAGAAAAAAAAGGTATCTAAACTTTAATAGCTAAGTTATTAGTATTAAAGTTTAGATATTTTTTTTTTTTACAAATTCAAATTCCTTAGTTTTTACTTTTTGACCCCATATTATTTTTATACTAATATTTTATAAAATAAAAGAAACTTACCTTAAGAAAAGCTATTGATTTTATTGCTAAAGTATAGGAAGATATTAGTAATACTACTATTAAGAATTGCTAGAAAATAACTAGAATTATACTAGAAATAAGTGAACAAGAAATAATTAGTTCAGAAATAAGTGAAGAAATAAGTGAAAAAGAAAATAAATTCAAAAATGAGATCAATAATACTATAGCACTAGTTAACAACCTTAGCGAGACTAACCTAGTAGCTTAACAATTAGTACAAAATATCGAAGAATATATTAACTTAATCAATCAACTAGCTATAACTGAAGATGTACTTACAGATAAAGGTATCATTGAAATAGTAAAAAATGAGTTTTGTGATGATGAAACTAATGATGACAACTATAAAGAATCATTACTACTACCTTCGATAACCCTTAATAAGGCTATTAAATCTTTAGAAAAAATTATTAGTTATTAGAAAAGTCTTGAAGTAGAAAAGAAATTTGATGAGAATAGGCTAATTATATTGTAAAAAAAGCTTAAGGAATAGCATTATGAAAGAGAAAAAAATAAAAAACAATCTTCACTTTTGTCTTTTTTTAATTGTGTTGAGTGAGATCTGATATTAGAGTCACACTCTAATTCCTTTTACCTTATTTTCTTTTTTTTTACCTTATACAGTAAATTTTTTTTTTTTTAGTAATAGTATAGTTATTATACATGCTACTTAAGTAGCTTAAACATTGAAGTAATTTTAGGCTATTGTACTGCAAAAGAATATTGTATTGTCAAAATAAAAATTTTCAAAAAAAAATTATATTTTTAAAGAAGAAAAAAAAAACTTTTCAATTCCGAAAAACAATAATATATATATATTTATATAGACCTGATTAAAGCATGATCTCTAATAATTTTAGCTCTGTTAATAAAAAAAAGTAAAAATCTAAAATTTCTTTAATTTTACTATTATATAAGTGATCAAATATGTTTTATATAAAAATGTATAGTATCTTTTTAATATACAGTATTTCCTTATTTAGCTAATTTTACTTGTGTCACTACAAGTTTTGAATTTTTACTATAGACAGAAAGGTTTTCTGTTCTTTTTTTTTTATTAGAGCCAAGAAGTAAATTTTAATACTGTTTATGTTACTCTCTCCCTAATAAAATGGGCTATTTTGAAAAAAAAATTTTTTGAGAAAAATTTTTTAAAAATTTTACTATACAAAACCTCCTTCCTTTCTTCTTTCAAAGTGGATAAACTACTGAATTAAATTGGTCTAGCTTTAACTTATAATTAAACATATTATTAAAGAGTTTATAGATATATTTTCTAATGAGTCTCTTGGAAGATCCAAATAATCAGAGCAGTTCTTAGGCTTTGCCAGAAAATACTACTCCTTTGGAACAAGCCAAGCATGATATTTGTAAGCAAGTAGTAAGTTATAAATTTGATACTAAAATTAGTACTGAGAAAATTTCTCAAAAACTTCAATTAAGTAAAGCAGAGACTGAGGATATTTAATAGTTATCAGATAATTTGTAGATGATATTGAGTTGGTGATATTAAATAGGCATTAATTAGCTCAGATACTGCAATAGTAGCATAATCTGAGTTAATCAATAGTTATTGATATCATTAACTCAATATATCTACAAATTACCTGATAACGATATTATTCAGAAGTAGTTATTAATTATGCTTTGATTAAATAATCTTCAAGCTCATATATACAAAATTTAAAATTCTGCTTTTGATACTAAAACATAGTGATATAGTAATAATTAATATACTATGATATAAAGAAATAATAAATATCATAATCAATAGTAACTACTAGATAATTTATATTACTGCAATGATTATTTTATGCTAGTTTATTCATCATGTTGGATGCTTGCCAAGAACTAAACTGAAAATTTCTTGGCTATGATTTAACCTTTAAAGAATTACAGGAATTTTAGCAAAAGAGAGACAAACCACAAATATGACTAAAAATTACATAAATTGACTTCAACTTTACTAGCAACTAGCTCTTTTCCATATTTAGTTCACTGAATAAAACTGAAGCAAATTTGACACCAAAGGTTGACTTTGCTAATGCTTTTTCTACTTCAAAACTAGCTGTTATGATAAAAGATCCAAAAAAGTTTAAAGCAAAAAATATTATGAAACTAGCATGATTGTATCATATATTATCTATTCTCATTGGTTAGATTAATATATCATATAATATGTGACTTTATAGAGAACATTTTATATGAATAGACAATAAAAAAATGTAATAGTGACTATAATATGATTGTGTTTATATAGAGATATTTTTAATACTAAAATAGTTAATAAATATATAAATATGATTATATTGATTTTGTGATTATATAGGAGGTGACTATAAAGAGGTTTAACTGTATATTTATATCAATAATATATAGTAATAGTATTCAAATTCAGATTTTTTTTTTTTTAATTGTTAAAGCTGCCTTCTTAGCTGATTAGATTTTATTAATTTGTAATCACAAAGTTACTATAGTAATAATCTTCTAAGGTTTTATAGTTATATGATGAGTATACAACAAGCTATATATAAACTTTAGTTATTGTCTAATTTTTTTATTTTTTGTTATTAAGGTGGCTTATATTGCTAAAAGAATTTTATTAGAATTATATACAGGATATACATTGATAGTTCCTACTATTTGTAATTATATAAAGAGTGTATAACAAGCCACATATATAACTTTAGTTATTATCTAATTTAAATAATCCACTACACAGGTAATTAAACTACTCAATTGGTTCTATACTATGCTGCCATACCTGTAACCTACCTGTGAGTTATCTATTTAAACATTCTGTTCATTAATCTATACAGATCTAATCTAACATCATCATAACTCCTAACTACTTAAACTAGCTAGCTTGTTACAGATATATTTATTTAGAATAGTTTAGATCCTCTTAGGATACATTATACCTAATATATTGTAGATATTGCAGAGCTAGTTAATCTCGAAGTATACCTACTAGAGTGGTTCATACCTATTTTATGAATTCATCTAGCTTAGACTCTTGTAAATGTTTATATAACCTCAGTTCTTATTATAGCTCTCTACTAGTTTTCTATATTCTATAATCTCAAATGTTTTATGAAGCAGATTCTTCAATTCAGTTAGCTGCCAAGCCAAGTTGGTGTTACTAATTCTCCTTATAGAACAGATTTATGCATATCTGACTTGATCTGCATCTTTTGATGATAGTTTTCTTTTTGGATCAAGTATTAGCTAGTATAACTGTTGAAAGCTATACTATTTCATTAACTTAGGATTTCTACTATGTAGATCCCTGTCTATAGATCCTATCAAGATTTATTTGTGTAATATTACATCTCACCAAATGCTTCATCATACTTCTAATATCTGGATAATATTAGTACAATGTGATTTATAGAGTTACAACCCTAGAAATGAACAAAGTTTACTGTAAGTTAAGTACAAAGTTCTGAGTAATTATTCAAATTCGTCAATAGTGGAATTTGAACTCCAGAACTCTTGCATAGCAATTTGGCAATTTAACTACTATACTAAGATCACCAGATTGTCATTGTCTAATTTAAGGGTAGAGGATATATAGATTATTTTTATATAGTAATACATAGTATTTTGAAAT